GCGGACAACCTGTAACATGTAGCAAGTTTGTAGCAAAAAAAATCGAGTATTTTTCTGTTAACGCGGCTTTGCTGAAATGGTGATTCCCGAGACTGCTCCGAGGTGGAGGCGCGACAGCAAACCTACCTACCGGGAGTCGACCGTCGGACAAGAGCATGCTCAAAACGGGACTTGAACCCAGTTGCCGACTGGCTGGAGGACAACAGGATGGCACCGACACAAACAGAAAGTGTAGCCCTGGTCGCAGGAGGCTCTGTCGACGTTCGGTTGACTTGCGGCTCTGGCCAGGAGGCATTATTATCGCCAAGAACTACTCGCGTCGGAATTAAGTAGTATTGTCAAGTACAATAGAACGTGCATTTCTTGCTGAATCGAAACAATCCCAACATGCACAAGTGCATTTGGGGCAGGCCTAGCGACATATGTTGACTAAATTTATTTTCGCGTATTATTGGTGGTATCGAAACTACTTGCATCGGAATTAAGTAATATCGTCAAGTGCAATAGGACGTTCATTTCTTACTGAATCGAAACAATCACAACATGCACGATTACATTTGGGGCAGGCCTAGCCACATATGCTGACAAAAAATTATATTCGCGTATTATTGGTGGTATCGAAACTACTCATATCGGAATTAAGTAATATCGTCTAGTGCAATAGGACGTGCATTTCTTACTGAATCAAAACAATCCAAACATGCACGATTGCATTTGGGGCAGGTCTAGCGACATAGGCTGACCAAATTTATATTCGCGTATTATTGGTGGTATCGAAACTACTCGCATCGGAATTAAGTAATATCGTCAAGTGCAATAAGACGTGCATTTATTACTGAATCGAAACAATCCAAACATGCACGATTGCATTTGGGGCAGGCCTAGCGACATATGTTGACTAAATTTATATTCGCGTATTATTGTTGGTATCGAAACTACTCGCATCGGAATTAAGTAATATCGTCAAGTGCAATAAGACGTGCATTTATTACTGAGTCGAAACAATCCAAACATGCACGATTGCATTTGGGGCAGGCCTAGCCACATATGTTGACTAAATTTATATTCGCGTATTATTGTTGGTATCGAAACTACTCGCATCGGAATTAAGTA